TCTTCGACTTGGTGCTCGAGGTCAGAGTAGGAAGAAAGGTCCAGGTTCTTGATCCACTCGGAAATGCGACGTCGATCAGCTTTGCCGGATGAGTTGATGGGTAAGCTTGCCATGGGGATCCAGAGTCGAGGAATCATGTAGTCAGGAACATACTGCGACAGGTAAAGCTGAACTTCTGAAGCGACGAGCATAGCAGCTGGTTTGTCAACGGCATTCTCTCCATCCAACGCTGCACCACTGTAGGCAGCACCATCGCTAGGAAGACTGAAGGCGGCGACAAGCTGACCGTGGACGTACAGAACAACAGCCTGGATAGAAGAAGGATGACGAGTGATGTGATACTCAATCTCATCAACCTCGACTCTCTGTCCACGGATCTTGATCTGCGTATCCTGTCGGCCCAGCGTCGTATAAGACCCATCATCATTCTGCCTCACCAAATCACCCGTCTTATACATCCGTCTATTTCTCCCAAGGTCATACTTGCCCACAAACTCCGGATCAATAATGAATGACTTGTTCGTCTTGACCTCATCGTTAAGATATCCCCTCGCAAGAAGCGGGCCTTCGATGAGGAGTTCTCCCGGTGCGCCAATCGGACACAGACGATTGTAGTTCTTGAGATCGACGACCCAGAAACAACTCGCGAGCGGAATTCCGAGAACAGAGACCTGAGAGATGTGCTTCATTGGCTGGGGGGATACAGTAGCATAGATACTGCACTCAGATGGGGCGTAGGATTCGAGAACAGAGGCTTGGTCTTTCCAGAGATCGAGAACAGCGGGCTTGACGGGTTCGCCCATTAGGATCACGGTCTTGATCAAGGGAAGCTGGGAGGGGTCGAGAAGACCGGCGACAGTGGATGTCAACGAAAGGAAGTCCACTTTAGCGGAGGAGATAAAGGCTTGGAGATGGTTGACGCGATCATCTTCTGATGGCACGCAGACGCAGCCTCCCATACACAACGTCGTAAAGACCTCTTGGATCGTCACGTCAAACGTATGAGAAGCGAATTGAAGCACGCGCGCACCCTTGACACCAAAAGCCGTTCCATGGGATGTAATGCTCGTGCAGAGCGCAGAGTGTTGTAGAACCACGCCCTTTGGTGTACCTGTGCTGCCGGACGTGTAGACGACCCAAGCAGCGTTGTCTGTAGAAACAGTGGTACAAGCCGAGCGAGAAGCTGGCGGGAGAGTCCGGAAGAGCGCTTCGTTGACTTCGATGAGTTGTTGAGGACCAAGATCCTTGAGGCGATTGAGCTGAGCGTTGTCAACGAGGATGATGGGGGCTTTTGTATCGGAGAGGATGGTTTGGAGGCGCGAGAGTGGTTGGTCTGCGCCGAGGGGAAGAACGATTCCGCCGGATTTTAGAACGGCGAGCATAGAGACAGTCGCCCACCGGGACTTGTCCATACAAATGCCCACCATAACTTCCGGTCCAATGTCCATCTTCATAAGGTGCTCTGCAAGGCTACTCGCCGCGGTGTCAAGTTCCCGGTACGTCATGGTTCCGTCCCAAGCATACACCGCCATGGCATCAGGCTGGCTGTCCGTCACTCCTTGAACGAGGGTGTGTATACACGAAGCAACGGGCTGTCGACCTTCGCCATTGATGTCGCGCAGATGCTGGGCGTCTTTGGAGGAGATACCATCGAAGGAGTTGACTTTGGCGGATGGGTTGGCGACGATGAAGCGGATTGCTTCGAGGAAGCAGTTTAGCATCTTGGCGGCGTCTGCTTGGGAGGTCGTTGATGTCCAGATGTCGTAGTCAACTGCGATACCATTTTCGCCGATCTCGACATTGATGGAGTGATCATACTGCCTCATGTTAGCATCTTGCTGCGGGATTGAGTATCGGCGTAGGGGACTTACATCTGTAGGGCTGACTCCTCGCAAAAAGCTCATTTCAAGCTCTTTGTGCCCAGTAGACTTGGGCCTCCACTCCTTTCGGAACGAAAGAATCGAGTTTCCCCATTTGTGGCTCGTAGGAAGCTTAGCCCCCTTTGCCATCAGAGGAACCTTATCGTGCGCCATTCCTCGGAACACGTCGTCTGTAACAGTCTTGAGCATGTCCAAGACTGTAGGGTCATCTTTGAACTTGACCCGCAGTAGCAAACTGCTGATGAACAGACCAATCGCTCCGTCGATTCCAGGAAGATCCGTTTGTCTACCTGAATTGACGTAGGAAAAGGTAACGTCGTCTTTCATGGCGAAGAGCCGAAGGACAATACTCCAAGCGACTTGACAGACACTAACGAGGGTAACGCCGTAAGCATCGCAGAAGCGACGAGCTTCGTCAGCAGGAATGTCAACACGATCTTGAAGCGTGTGAAGACCGGCTTTTGGCTTGTTACCGCTTGCAAGATAGGTCTCCTCAGCATCACGTAGGTAATTCTGCCAATAATCCGCAATGCGCTCGACGTCTTGGAAACTCTCCTCCTCCATGCGCACAAAGTCTGTGTAAGGCATGGCTTTTGTGTCGGGGAGTTGGTTCTCGTATGCTGCGCAGAGGTCGTAGAGGAGAACATCTGCAGAGCGGCCGTCGATGACGGCGTGTGAGACTTCTAGTCGAAGGATGAGTTCTGAGGAGGATGCGGCGTAGATGTACATGTGATGGGGAACACTTCCGCTCTCAAAAGCGTTCAGCATTCCGTCGGCTTTGACTTGGGCTTCGTCGTGGAGGATGGTGACTTTGGGGTTGACTTCTGTCCAGACAACTTGGTCAAACGTTGACTGACGGGTCTCGCTCTCGAGAAATGTAGTTCGCAGACTTGAATGGCGCGCAACAATGCGAGGCCAAGCGTTTGCAATATGTGAAGCGGACAAAGAGTCTGGTACACTCGATTTGATCCTGAGAATAAAGCGACATTGGTAGGCAGCCGGGTTAACAGCCTGACTGATAAGGATACGATTCTGCATAGACGAGCAAGGACCAATACTCTCAATCTGTCTCGCAGGATCTTGAGCAAGCTGCTTCAACCGCGCATCGGGCACAGTATCAGTGCTATCAGACCCCGTAGCAGAAGCAGCATCGTCAGAGCTTGATGAAGACGTGCTCGTGTCACTGTTCCCAACACGATCATTGAGGATGAGATTGTGTGGATTGCTCTCATGCTTGGAGATGATGCGTTCAACAAGCTCAGCGAGCGTCTTGCACTGCACTGTATCCACGATATCAATGTGAATACCACGCAGACGGCATTTACTGAGGAACTGAACAGCCGAGAGGGAGTCTCCACCCTGTACGAGGAATGATTGGTCGAGGTTCAACTCCTCAGTGCTGATGTGCAGCGCATTGGCGAGTTCAAGGTGCAGGATATCCTGCATAGCGTCGGTGTGAGCCATTGTGCTGTTGCAGTGCAAAGAATGAAAACTATTGGAGAAAGGGTATATTGGGTATAATGATTGCGTTTACGAAAACTACATTGCTTGAGAATCTTGTTCAACTATATGATGCTGTATTCTACGGTATGGAGCTTAGGTAATTGGTGTTGAGGTCGGGCGTGGAGTGCTGGGATGGAGGGGGCTGACAGGATCGAGTTCAGGATCAGGATCAGGATCGGCGCTATCGGCAGGATTGTCCCATGTGGCGCACTACGGCACGGTAAGCGGCAGTCAGCATCACAGTACAGTAATAGAGGGACTTTGGGAGAATTAGGTTCATTGAGATAAGGGAAAAGATGGTAAGCGATAACGAATCGAGAAGTAAATATGATCTGAGACTTTTAGTGAAGGTCCGGAGATAAGCGTGGGGGAATATGCCTCAACTGCCGCAGCGAAGTGATCAAAAAGGTTCATGAAGTTATGTGTTCGGAAGATAACCCCTTTGGGATATAGACCTTGTGAGGGGAATAACACGGTTTTTTATTGTCAATAATGTAGAGCATTGACGATGAAAGCGTGCGAGCCTGCTGCTAAACAAATATCTCATTGTCAACGGAGTCTCGGTCACGGTGATCGGACCCTCGGCAGACTCAAATGCCCCAACGGCACGACGTCAAGCATAGTGAATCTCCTCAGAGTGGAATAGCATCACCTTTATTCCACGTAAAACAGGCCCTGATTCGTCATAACCTGCAATTATGACAGTTGATCATCTCGCTGAACCTCGTGGCTAAGCCCCTCAGGCTAGTTTCACATGCAATCACGGCGTGCACGTATTATCCTCACTCTATCACGCCATCAAATAGTTTCCCTCGCAAATATTTAAATGCTGGACGTGCTCGCATTGAGAAATAAAGATCTTATCGTGGCGCTTTTAGTCTTCCAGGGCATCTAACTTTTCTTTCGGTCGCATCGTCATGCAAGTAATTAATTTGACTTCACTTGTGCGAAGGGTTTAATTAACGAAAGTCAATCTTGCGCAGTATCGAGACTACGAAAGTATACTATTTCCGAGAAAATTAAAGGTTAAGGCGATTGAACTCCAAAGGCAATCGGGCAAGACAGTTGCTTCAACTACGATTCATCTCGCAGTTGATAAATTACAGATGACGGTGAGTACTGTTTAGTGACTGCGAATGCTCCTAAAACGAGACCGGAGAGGAGAAGAAACTACTGCATCTGGCACTGCCGAGGAGACAACTGATACTACTGACTACTCAATAAGTGAGTCGTCTTTACAGACGACTTGTTACCACTGCAGCTACGACAGGCGGATATCTAGTAAGTGAGCAAGGAACACCGATGAAAACGTGACAGCACTGCAAGATATATCCACTCACTGCAGCATCACATGCGTTTCGCATTGCACAGAACTCCAAAGGGCCTTGAATCGTGCAGATACAGAAACTTCAGCGCCACGAGAGTGTCTACATATCACTCTGCGGGGTCTGTCACAACTCATTCTTCGCTGCAGTGTTCAGTGGGCGACGGAGTCACATCTTGTGCGGAGTCATGAATCGCTACTTGCATCGCCAAGATCATAGCATAGCCTCAAATAAACCATCAATATATTGAAAAAGAAATCATCGTTCTAGCCTCAAACAAACTGTATACTCGCTATTGCGTCAAGGACCTCAACGCTCTATTCGGCCGCACCCTCCCGTTAGAATGTCGACGAATCCTATTACAGCTCTGATTCTGAATATGATGATTCCTCGCCGTAGTGCGACTAAAGATGGCTCCGCACATATTACACGGGTAAGAGGGCCGTTGGCTCGACTTTTCCTTCTGGTGCCGCTTCAGGTTGCTCAGCGTCGTAAACAACTGTCCGTTACACCCGTGGTCCCAGCACCTGAGATCCTGTGCGTCTCGCTGCTGTGTTCCTGCAGTAGTGTTGGTGGTGTTGGCTCGCTTGGATCGGGGGCCGGTACTGCGTTGATCGTCGTCGGCGCGCGTGTTGGCTGATTGGGCCATCTCTGTCAATGGAGAGATGGGGTAGGAATTGTCACTGCCACTATAAGATAAGATCCTGTTGGTTAGAGAGTGTTTTGCGTAAACGTGCATCTTGGCTTACTTGGCATCGTGATCGAAGGAGAAGAAATCGTCAAATGTATCGTCGCATAATAGAGGCAGTCGGTTTGAGAATACATCGTCTGTTAGATCTGTTGCGAAATTGAAGTCGTCGGTTGCAAAATCAATGGCTAAAAACAATACAATAAATCAGTTGGTCTGCTTTGGAGGTGAAGCTATATGCGACCGCGGGGTTATAGACGGATTTGTTCTGGTACGCACCACTAATATCCGGGTGACGATTAGGTTCAGCACTGTCATTGGGGTGATCAAAGTCCACTGCGGGAAGAAGGGACTGGACACCCGCCATCCAGTCAGCAACGATTGGCCTGTCTCTGCCGTTCTTTGCTGGAGGAAACATTGTTTGTTTGTCTGTTGGTGGCTGAGCAATGCACTGCACGATGTATGTATGTATGTATATGTCTGGACGAAATATCACGAAAGGAATAGCACATTAATCTTTGGTCTAGTGCTTTGGACCTTCGCGCGAACTCTGTTTATAACGTACTCGTCGTATGATGTGTACAAGAATTGGGGGCACTTGATTGATTAGCTGCCTACGTCAAGCATCTACATACTCGGCCGTCGCATTGTTTCTCGAAAGGGCCTGATCGCCAAGCCGGGTTCCATCCGGTAGGTGTCAGATTCATTGATTATTCTGCAGAATACGTACATGGAGAATATCTCTCCTGTCAAAAACGCAGCATACAACCCCTTCGGCACGTAGTGAGCGTTGTATCGATCAAACTAAAGTTTGAATACGCGAAACCTTGGCCCCCATCAAAAAAAGATACATGCATTGTCTCTCTAGGACTCTCTTCTCATGCATGGGATGAGATGGAGGTGTCCTATTAGCTCGACCCCGGGCCTCAATGGGATTTTGCAGGGGAAGCATATGCGTCTCTGTCCTCCCATCATGCACAACAAAGTTCAGCGGTTAATAAGTGAGATACAACCTGCCTCTTAGAGGCAAACCAACCACGGCTCCCCTTGTCTTCCCCGACCTGGGTTAAAGTTGCGCGTCATCTGGTCTCTTCCCGGCAATTCGTGCCAAACCAACCAAACAGACAAACCTGTGGAGCTCAAACAGTGGGAACGAGTCAGACCGGCGGAGCAGAGCCGGGGATTATACGGCCAATAAGGTTACGCGGCTCTTATTATTAGTGAGCATTATCTTGGCAGAGAGCAGCGCCGCTGTTCCAGAACAGTGAGCATGTATGACAATATGTTGAGGTGACTTTTTGTTTTTTTCGGTCAGCAAACAAGAAAAAAAACTGGAACATGCATACACGCACTGCTTAATAAGGCTTACTGCCTCCCTCTTTGGAGATAGGCTCTTAGCAGGAGCTGAGCCCCAGTCCATCCCGTCCCCAGGGCTTAACTCCTACCGGCGCTGCGGTCATCATGCCCCCCATACCAACCAGAATGCACGCACGTCTGCTGATGGATGGCACACCTGGTGAAACAACGGAGTGGTATCCGGATATCGCGTGGCACCTTGATTGGCTTTCTGCTCACCGCACGCAACCCCCCCAGCCCTGGCCAGCATGTCTCACCACAAAGGGCTACTGTACTTACATGCTGTACAAGCACTACTTGCCCACCCCACGATTATCCCACTGCGGCGAGTCCCGAGTCTATACTGCAAGGGGACTAATGACTCGGCACTGTTGCATCAGAAATTCGGCCGATAGGTTCATCGCGAGTTAATTCACTTTTAGTGCGGAAAGGGAAGACTATCAGAAGACGGCACGGACCGGCACGATAGGACATGATCGCTCAGAGATGGATGGATGCACGGCATTCACAACAATTAAGAAAAATCCCGTAATCCTTCAATCCTCAATCCTGTATTCCAGCAATCCAGGAATCCCACGCAATTAGCATTTGGAATAGCTACTGTTTGTCCGATTTGAGGATAATTCCACATCAAATCATGTCTGCGTGATGGATTCAAGAAGATAGATGAGAGGCTTGACAGCTACAAAAATGTGTTCTTGATCAACCACTATTATAATTCCAATTCATCGGACCATCGGCATCACTGACCGCCACATCCAACTAAAACATACTAAGCCAAGCCATGATTCGCGACCTCCAAGGCGTAGTCTCCCTGCCTTCGTGGGACATGCCCATGTCGCATATGAAAACCCATTGGCTACCCTACGCAATCAGAATCTCGAGATCTATCACACCACCGCCTTTACTAATCGTCCTGCTGCTAGCTGCATTATCTCCGGTCAGTACCAAAATCAAGCCACTGCAACGGCGGCTAATCTGCAATAGGTAATCGGCTATGTCGTCTACTACGCCTTCTTCCACCCTCTGGCCAAGTACCCCGGCCCCTTCTGGGGAAAGTTTACAGGGCTCCGTGCAGCGTACCATGCCTGGATTGGGGATGTACATATCGACATGTGGAAATGTCATGAGAAATATGGTTCGTGTACCCAGCGTTCCACTCGCCTCGCTGCAGCATGCTTACGTTTCGCCCCAGGGCCCTATGTTCGCTACTCGCCAAATTACCTGCTAATGAACACGACTCAGGCATACAAAGGTTATTCCCCTCGCTTCGAGTCTTAAAGTTTATATAATCTGACTGATGCTATTCTTAGATGTCTACGGCCATAACAAGAACGTGCGCAAGAGCCTTGCTTATCTGGCCATGGTCCACAAAACTCCTAGCACCTTCACCCTGATGGATCGGCACGAGCATGCATGGAAAAAGCGGATCTTGAGCCAGAAGCTATCGGATTCAGCCATCCGATCCTTCGAGCCCAAGATCACGGGCATGATTGATCGCTTCTGCGAATACGTCTGCCCCGCTAGCACGGGCAAAGAAAACGCCGTGTCGAAGCCGTTCAACATGTCGGAAATGTGTAAGCTCGCCTTTCCATTGGTCGCCCTTGTACTTACTATTGGTCCCCGCTGACAGCACATGTTGTGTTACACAGGCGATTATCTTTTCTTTGACCTTGTAACTTCCATTGTCTTTGGTGAGAACTTCGACTTGATCCGAAGTCCGTGGTACCGTCATATCCCGCCTGCGCTCGCTCGCTCGAATGAGCGTATAAGCGTAATCGTTCAGTGGCCGTATGTTGTGTGGCGGCGTATGGACAAGGTTCTCTTCCGTAACTCCGTGGCTGGCCGGAAGGACTTTTTACGATTTGCTCACAACTTGGTCACCGAGAGAGTGCAGCGTGGGTCTGGGGATGATGTCTTGTCTGGCTTACTGGATGCTGCAGACCCAACTACAGGAAACAAACTGACCCAAGATGAAATCGTCGCCGAGAGTATTCTGATGCTCGTAGCTGGTGAGTAGCCTTGCCTCCAGGTATACACTCAACTAACGTCATCAGGCTCTGACACTTCATCAACGCTCTTGGCATCTCTGTTCTTCTATCTTACTAGAAACCCCGACAAGAAGGATCGTCTGACCCGTGAAGTCCGCTCCAAATTTTCAAGTCGAGAAGAAATCTGTCTCGGTCCAGCCCTCAACTCCTGTCGCTTCCTCTACGCGTGTATCATGGAATGCTTACGCTTAACGCCCCCAGTTGCAGCAGCACCGTTCCGTGAGGTCCTCAAGGGCGGCATGATCGTTGACGGTCACTACGTCCCCGAGGGTACCAACGTTGGAACCGGTCTATTCAGTATTCAACACAACCAGGATTACTTTCACAATCCTTTTGAGTTTATTCCTGAAAGGTGGCTATCAGAGGGAAAGAATGCTGGACCTCATAACCCAGACGCTCATGTTCCGTTCTCCATTGGTCCTCGCGTTTGTCTTGGAAGGGCACTTGCTCACGCCGAACTTAGTCTTGCCATGGCTATCATCTGCTGGAAGATGGACTTCAACGTGGTCGAGAGCATGAAGGATATTGGGGCCGGCAACGAGAATGCCGAGTACGGTAGACACCGACCTGGAGAGTTCCAGTTGTATGATCATATTACATGTGCACGAAATGGGCCAATGGTTGAGTTTAGAGAGAGATCGTTTTGAGACTATGGAGATAAATCAAACATGAATTTTCCCCATCAGCCGCAACCCCTGTATCACGATGATCTGTGGCCCTTGCTAGTCCAGTTGATAGTTCCGTCAGAACCCTAAAACCGTTGAGAATATTGATGAGGAATGCAAGTCATTCAATCAGAACTATAATCAAGGTTCCAGTCACTACGGCTCCGCTATACGCACTAGTGAGGAGAGTTTGGAGAATCTCAATATGCACTATCAAATCTACCTACACCGACACCTCGACCTTGCCCAACCCAACGATTCCATGTGATGTTATCAACGTATTTCATTGGGCAAAAGCAGTCACATATGACGAGCGGTAATGCTGACCCGGATCATCGGGCTCTCGGACTTTAAGCAGGCCAATGTTGCAGGGGTTGCATCTAAGGACCACCCGCGCGGCCGCTGTAATCCCAGTAGTTATCGCCCTGGGCCCTGCATGTCCCGATGACGCAGTAGTAACCGCCGCCTCGGTTAGACTCGTTTGGTGAGTACATGACAAACGGATCGCCAGTCGAGTCCCAGCCTCCGCCAACGGCACAAGAGTCTCTCTCCATGTTCTGCACGGTATCTATTGGTCAATTAGTCGATGCGCTTCTTTTGTGGGGCTCTGCATGCGAAAACCCTTGCATTACAACTTACAGGCAGTGTGAGCGGTGTTGTACCAGACGCATACATCCTCGCCAGCGCTTCCGGTGCAGGTGTAGGTGTTTCCAGTGTTCCAGCTCTCGGAGACTGAGAAGCCGCCGCTAATCCAGCTCACGGGGGTGAGGGTAGCAGTCCATCCGATGGTGTACGAGATGGATTGGGAGTTGCCAACGCTGCATGACTGGGCAGTTCCACAGTTTACAACTTCCTGCAAGTTGAGCCTCATTAGTGATAGTTCAAAGTATGGGGTTACAAGGGGGCTGGCTTACCGAAAGCTGCTTGTGGAAATAATTCTGGTGGGGATCGCCTGAACCATCCAGGTCAGTAAACTAACTCACGGATTACCATATTAAGAAGTGATAGCTTACCATCACCAACTAGGGAAGTCCTTGTCAAGACAGAGCATGCCGGGGGATCGTTGATAGGATTGGCCTCGCGCTTTGCAAAGCCCGATGCAGAACCCTTGGAGCTCAAGAACCGGAGAGCACCCTTAGCCTCATCCTTGTCATGGCAGTTGTCTTCGATCTTTGCCTTGTTGGGCTTCCAGTCAAGTCCAGAACACTCGACAACGGTTGCTTGAGCGCTAAACTTCTTGGTGCAGATCGGGCCCCCCGAGTGCTTTGCCTTGGAGTGGACGAGATACTTGTTAGCGCCGACAGTAAAGTTTCCAAAGCCGTTCTCATCGACATCTGTAAAGTCAA